GTTGAGCTGTGTCTAGGTGGTGGCGTTGAGCTGTGTCTAGGTGGTGGCGTTGAGCTGTGTCTAGGTGGTGGCGTTGAGCCTGTGTTTAGGTGTTGTGTTGAGCTGTGTCTAGGTGGTGGCCTTGAGCTGTGTCTAGGTGTGATGTTGAGCTGTATCTAGGTGATGGCGTTGAGCTGTGTTTAGGTGTAGTGTTGAGCTGTGTCTAGGTGGTGGTGTTTAGTTTGTAAGGCAGATTGATATCAGATTGTAAAGGACCTTGAATTTCATCTATACCCCTTAAAGGCAAGGTATATGTCCCTGTGCAAATTTCAATTAAAATATTTATTGAGTCTACTGTGAGTTAGATACTGTACAAGGCACTATTAGATTGCAAAGATTACAGAATTGGGCCCAGCATTTGTAGAACATTCTGGCTCATGAGGAAGACATACTGTAAACAACTACAGCAAGGTAAAATAAATGTAATAACCTAGAAATATAACCATAACCATGGCCGCATGGAGGAAGGGACACTTAACTTCTTAGAGGTGAGAACATTTCCGCGTTAACTTCAGAGGAGTAACAGTTGAACTAAGCCTTAAGGATGAATGAGTTCTCTGTTTTGAGGACGGAACAATTGGCCTTCTAGGCAGGGGGACTGGCATGTGCAAAGGAATGAACATGTGAAAGCTCTGGTATATCTGAAGAGGCTGGTGAGGTTGGGTGGCTGGAGTGCAAAGGGGGTCAGAGCTGGCGATGGTGGTGGTAAATGAGGCTGGTGGGTGGTCTAGGTCAGATAGTGGAGGTCCTCACAGTGGGCCTGTGATAAAAACCTTAGCTTTTATTCTTGGATGTCAGTGAAGGGTTTTCAAAGTAGAGAAGTGTTTTGAAATCATTGATGGCCTCTGGAGAAAGGATTAGGGGAAAAGCTGGATTCGGAGGAATCAGGTCTTCATTTATTTAAAAAAATGTTAAAAAGACTTGCAGATTTTGTGCACAGCACTTTCAGTAATTGGTGTCTGAAGCAGTAGTTTTCAACTCTGGCTGGCCCTTGAATCACTAATTTAAAAAATACTGTATTTTGGCCCTAATCCAGCCATGCTACATCAAAGTTTATGGGAGCAAACCAGGGCATCTTTGTTTCTAAAAAGCTCTTGGTGATTATTATGCTGGCTTTTTGAAGCCATCGGTTTCTAAAGCACCGTTGTGTTTGACTCCAGGGAGCTTTTATTTTAAACAGTCATGGCTAAAGATACACTTTGTACTTGGTGTGGAAGGATACTGGGAAATTTGATTAACTCTACATCTGTCTTTTATCATGGACACTTGTTTCAAGGTGATAACACCTGTCCTCATTAATACTATTGGAAGATTGTGATAGGAATTTTTTTTACCCTTTATAAAATTATTTTATTTCTTCTATTTCCCAGAAACGTTGAAAATGGTCAGTAAATTTAACACCATATAGGACAGGATGGTTACTGCATCGACCACATATTTAGAACAAGGTGTAGTATTAGGAGGAAAGAATACCAGAGCAATGATACAGTGCCGAGGTCAGCTAACGTTCTCTGTAACAGGCCTGGTAGTAAGTGCTTTCGGTCTGTGGGCACGCAGCCTCTGGTAAAACGACTCAGCTCTGCCAGGGTCACACGACAGGAGACGTAGTGTATAAACAAATGGCTATGGCTCTGTTCCATCAGACTGTTTGCAAACACAGCAGCCTTGCCGATCCTTGATATAAAATGTCCCAGAGAGGGAAAGTGTGATTTGCTTAAGGTTAGAGGTTGTCAGGAACTCACCATGTGGGATGCCATTTCATTTAACCTGTGCACATGTGAATACGTGGAACCCAAGAGCTTACAGAATTTTTCTAAAGCTAGCAAGGAGTACTGGTATTCACACTTACTTTCTGCTAGGCCAAACTTCTGCTTCCCAACAGCATCATGGTGGTTTTTTGTGCTCTCTAAAGTCTCAGGTATGGGAATGCAGAGAAAAGCAAGATCCTTGTGTTTTTGGCAGTGCTTGGCACGGAATAGACATTTGTATCAATGAGTACTATTGCCTAAATAGGCTGGCAATATTCATTGTGTGCAGTGGAAGGGCTTGAGCTGGGAGTCTTAAAAAGTTTTAAACTGATTTTCTTTTGTTCAAAAATAATGGAGTTATGTTCTTCCTTTTGGTTCTAGTAACTGCTGCTGCTGGTGACAATGTCAAATAACGGCCTAGACATTCAAGACAAACCCCCAGCCCCTCCAATGAGAAACACCAGCACTATGATTGGAGCTGGCAGCAAAGATGCTGGAGCCCTAAACCACGGTTCCAAACCTCTGCCTCCAAACCCAGAGGAGAAGAAGAAAAAGGACCGATTTTACCGATCCATCTTACCAGGAGATAAAAGTATAGTATTTCATTTTTCTCTCATTATTTGCATGCTTAAAAATTTTTTTGTTTTTGATAATCTGCTTAAAAGATCTGACCATCCTTGAGTTTTCTTTAATATCTCCTTTTTTTTTTCTTGTTAAATATTCCCTTGTCTTTCCTTCCTAAAGTGGTTTTAACTAAATGGAAAAGAGAGCCATTTTTGTACTCTATTAATAATGTCTCGGTAAAATTCTAAAAACAGGAATTATGTTCTTTCCAGATTTTGGACAATTCAAAGCCATTTATTTACTTACTTTTTTGTGTTCTTAAATGGTCCCATACCCACATTTGGAGATTAAATACCACTTAAAATAGGAAGTCTCATTTTCCTTTTGATTGATAAATCTTTTTTTAAAAAAAGAATTAATTATTATTATTATATTTTTTCACATGAGTTTTTGCCAGAGAGAGACAGAGAGAGAGTGAATGAGAAAGCAAGCCACCAGGTCTGGGATTCGAACTGTGGTCGGCCATGTAGAAGTTTCAGTGCTTTAACCCCCACACCACCTGCTGGTCCTGGATTGATAAATCTTTTAGAAGAATAATCAGGATTTTAATGGCACATCTGAAAAAGTCACTGAGATCGTTAGGGACATGGTAGTGAAATAGTTTTGCATGTCCATGTGAATTTCACTTGACCCCAAGAGTGTTAAGTGGCTGTTTGGACTGGAGTGAAGTTCTGTTGTGCTTCCAGGGTCCTGTTCTTGAGACATGCTGAAGACATTACTTTCTGCCTGTAAATAGTTATCATGAGCTTCTGACTCAATGGGGCTGGTTCACCACTTACCTGCATGTGACCTTAGGCATGTCACTTCACTCTTTGACTTTTAATTTGCTATCTTTAAAACTGAGATACTGACTCACAGGATTATTGTGAAGATTACATGCCATTTTCCTGATCCTGCGCTTTCACACAGAAGGTTTCATGTTAGTTCTCTTTATTTTGTACTCCTTTGTTGGTACAGACAATGGGAGACACAGCTAGTGTCTACATGGTAAAATCAGAACTGGGGTTCCGAAACAGTCGGACCAATGTAACAAGCACAATGGAGGAAAATATCTCATGTTGTAGAAAAAGAAAACTTCGTGACTACAGATCAGGGAGGTAGTAGATAATATCATTAACCAAGTAGGGAATGCAGGAAGACGGAGCAAATTAGGGGGTGGTGCTTGGACAGCAGGAAGATGATGAGTTCATTGAACAGTGTGCTTGAAAAATACGTTCTTGTAGTATGTAGCTGTAGTTTGTTCATTTAAATGAAATTTCCGATATCTGTTGCATGACAGTACCAAAAATAATTTATTCATTCATGTAGGCAGATGTGTGTGCTGTTACTTTGGGGTTATGAATAATGTGTCAAGGACATTCTTGTGGATGCCTTTTCATGCATGTACAAGTGTGTTTCTGATGGTTATCAACCCAGAATGGAATTACTGCACTGTATGTGTGAGTATACTAAAACTTGGTAGATACCATCAAACTATTATTCAGAGTAGTTCTCCCAGGCTATGCATCCTTGTTAATACTGGTATTTTCAGTTAAAAATTTTTTTAGCCATTTTAATGGGTATGTAGTGTTATTTAATATTTATTTCAATTTGCATATTCATGACTAATAAGTTGAAATATTATTTCATGTTTAAGAGCACTATTTTTGCATTTATATGTTCTTTTGTATAGTAACAGTTCATGTTCTTTTTCCTTTTCTCTTACTGGGTTTTCCTGACTGACTATTCTTTTTTTGTAAATTTTTATTGTAATTTCTTGTTTACATTGTGTCAGGTTGTTGGAAAAGTCATGATGAATTTTTGCATATAAAAACAGGAAAAGATGGGACCAGCAGTTAGCGTAATGGCTATGTTGCTGGACTCCCATGTGGTCGACCACGGTTCAAGTCCCGGACCCAGTGGCTTAAACTCACGCCAGGTGCGTGTGCGTGCATGCCCAAGATCCCGAGAGGAGAATGGAGGAGAAGAGATTGCGGCATGGCCACCCCCCCGGGGAGTTATTTCTTCCTATCTCTCTGTCTCTCTGGCAAGCACATGTACCCTATAGCAAAAATAAAAAAATTAAAAAATTAAAAAAACCCTCTCCAATGAAAGAAAGAAAGAAAGAAAAAAAAAAAACGGAAAAGATCCATCATGACCGTTCTGACAACCCAATATATCTTTGTAGCCATCTGCCAGCCCCTCTAAGTAAACTTTTAATGCTTTCATCCAAAATATGAGAGAGTCAGAACAGAGGAAGTACAGTTTCATTTTGCTTTGAAATTCTATAATTACATAAATGAGATATTACAAAGATGTAGTTGTGTCAGGCTAATCCTTATAGGTGAAAATAAACTAGACCATCATAAAGTGATTTAATCAGTGGTGGCGCTCTAGACCCAGGATTCTTCTAGAAATCTTAGTTGAGTGACCCTAGGCCCTATCTGTTCTAAAAATAAATCTCACTGTCCCAGGATCAAAGCTGCATCTCTGTAGGTTGAAAGCACAGAAATAAAACAGCATTGTAAGAAGTTCTTGCAGAGTAATCCAGTAACCTTGCTTTCATCGCCTAGTTACAGGTTTTCTATATATGCCCTGAGCACATAGGACCCTTGAGGGGTGTAATCAAAGCACACATCAGAATGAAGTAGACTGAGGTTTTTTCCCCTTTTGTTTGAAACCTTTGTTCAGCCAACAGCTACTCAGTCCGAAGGGTTCTCAGCAGTGTTGGCAGTCTTCGAAGTGGTACGCCCTTTACCCTTCATGTAGCATGTGAGAATTTCTCCCAGCCGAGTAGATGAATGGTCTAGAACAGGACTTAGAGAACCTGCCTTGAGTCTTGTCCTTGACATTCATTACCTCTGGTTTGTTTATTTATTTAAAACATTTTTAATTCCAACATCCTCTTCTGTGAAGTGGGAACAATCATGGCTCCATCCAGCCTGTATTATTTGTAATCTTGTTATTTGACATAGTGGATGTACAGGCATTTTCTAGCTAAAATACAACACAGGTACGAGGTTGGTTCACTTTTTTTTTTTTTTTTTTTGGGAGAGATTTTCACTGTAGGGCGCGTGCGCTCGCCAGACAGACAGAGAGAGACATAGAGACAGAAAGCGAGAAATCACCCCCCAGGGGGGATGGTCACGCCGCAATCCCTTCTCCTCTCGGGATCTTGGGCACGCACGCACACGCGCCCGGCGTGAGTTTCAAGCCATCGGGTCCGGGACACGAACTGCGGTCGACCACGTGGGAGTCCAGCGACATAGCCATTACGCTAACTGCTGGTTCCCGAGGTTGGTTCACTTTTAAAATGGAAACCCCAGCTCTTGTTTTAGCCGATACCCACCACAACCCATGTTCTGTCGGGCCCGCTGAAGCTTAGAGAAGTAGACAGCTTATAGTCTCACAGGTGGGAAGTGGCAGGCATGAGGTGGCAATGTCTTCCTGAAGTGTCTGTCCATCATAACACACTGTCTCTGCTAGTGTTCGCAACTCGGATTACACGTCGGACTCATTCAAGGTGCTTTCGAACCCTGCAAAAGCGAGTCCCACCCAGAGTCAGATTTTCTGCCCGGTCGTTTTGGGCCTCTGAGGAGTTTTGAGAGATGAGACTGAAGAGTGCCCTGTGGTCTGCAGTAGTGGTTGGGTTCTGAGCTGGCAGCAAGGAGGATGCCTGTGGGCATTACCTAATGCTGACCTCCAGCATGGCTGAGTGTGTCAGAGATGTAGACGCTTCTGGAAGGAGCAGCTGTAATTGAGGGCCTGGACTAGGTGGTGCTGAGTGCAGAATTCCATGTGGGGAAGCCTGGTTCCTGTGGTTATGATGTGGAGCCTTTGGTTTATGCTGAGGGGTTTTGCAGCATTTAGTTTGGAATCTTTTTTCTGGCAGCATTTTCACAACTGAAGTGGAATCGTCTGAGCTTGGGAAGAGTTTAGCAATGTTAATTTTAACATTGGACTGCTTCAGTGTTTCTCTCTCCAAGTTTGGAAGGTTTTACTGCCTTGAGCTCAGATTAGTTCAGCTGAGCCACTGAGAGGTGCTGCTTAAAAATAATGTAAAAATAAATAAATAAGGCCAGTGATTTGTGTTAACAGGTTCTGGTGACCCATGGGATTTTGCAGTGAAAATATCACTACACGTTGTCAGAAAGCCACATGGGCTAGACAAAGATAGGGTTGAAGTCAGAATGGTTGAGGTGGCAAGCTTCTTTTCCCACTTCACTTCCTGAAGCTCAAGATCTCGTTACATGAAATCAGGGTCTCTCCCTTTCCTGTCCTCAGTCACAGTTTCTCTGTCTTAATGAGAGGGTTGAGAAATCGTATGCTGACAGTTCCTTATATGTGATAACTCATGTTGGTAAAGATCTTCAGTTTACAAAGCACTTATTATTTTTTTAACTTAGTTGGTCTTCAAGATAGTAGTAATGATAATTTAAAAATAGTAATTGTAAATATAAATAGGAATAACACCATAGCAATAACAATGTAATTGTAATAATAATAACCTACGTATTTATGAATGCTACCAGGTACCTCAGGTTGTATTAGGAGCTTTGATGTTTGTAACGTGTGCCTGTCCTTTTGGACAGATAACTATGTCACTTTATAGATAGTAAACTGGGGTTCACGGTGCCTGAATAACTTGTCCATACTGACTGACTTGCCAGGGTTCGTAGTGACCAAGTAACTGGCCCAAGTTCATCTAGCTAGGGACTCGCAGAGCTGGGATTGGACCTCTGTCTTCTGATTCCAAGGCCTCTCCTCTGTATCAGTGACTTGCCCAAGGTCACTTGCTTCATGGTTGAGTTCACAAAATCTGAATTTGAACTGATGTCTCTTGTTTTTTAGACTGTGCTCTTTATTTATTTATTTTTGTCATAGAGCATGTGTGCTTACTAGAGAGAGACAAAGTGAGACAATGGGAGGGAAGTGAGAAATCAGCCCCTAGGGGAGATGGCCACATCACAATCCCTTCTCCTCCATTCT